TCAAAAAATTAAACAAGATGCTAATGCATCAGACAATCTATTTAATGTAGGAGATTTAGTTTATTTAAGAGTAGAAAATAGAAGGAAACATGAGAAACCATATCATGGTCCATATAAGATAGTTGATAGGAACGGTTTCACTATTCAAATTAATGATAAAATAAAAATAGTTCATAATAATAGATTAAAAAAAAATTCACAAAACATAACAATGTAAATATTTAAACAAAAAAAACAAAAAAAAAGCAAAAGAGAAATTAATAATTAATATAGAAGTGCATGAAATAAATAAATAAGGTATTTGTAATAATTGTCAATGTCAAAGCTCAAATTATCATTAAAAATTTTCTTTATTATATAAATAAAATTGTTTTTTAAAAGGGTAGAGGTATTGTGTATAGCGCAACCAATGTAAACTAAAACAAACAATAAATTATTTTATGTATTTTTGAAAGTGCTTATGCACAAATTATTTTATATTAACTAATGTAATATGTAATGCGATCGCACACGGAAGAACCACCGCAATGCAAGTAGAATATTTGGTCATAGCAAGTATGCAATTGCTATTTGACACTTTTCTTTTCTGTGCTATTATTCCGCACATGTTGATATGACACATTTGAATGTGTCATAATATTTTCTAAGCATTGACGTTTGTCAACCTTTTTAGTGCCGCCGCAATTAAAATTATTAGGAAAAATGTTTGTAAATTATAGTAAAAAATATTTCGTATAAATAGTTTTGAAAATTATTAATAAAATTCAGATTTTAAACTGAGCTCTAACAGCTTAAACAATAGTCTCACAAATCATTTTGTCTCGACATCCTCGGTTGCCTACTAATTTGCAGATTTCTTCCTGCTGAATTAAAAATAGAAGAAATATATTATATCGAATGAAAGTCTGATTCAAAAAAATAATAAATTTGTACTTGAACAAATTTATTATTACATGGTAATCCTGCATGTATAATTAATAAATTTATTATTACAAAATAAAATTTATTATAACAGGTGTCTGTTTAGATGAACTATGTGTAGAGTTGTTAATGGCAAATTTCACCTTTGGTAACAATCTCATCCAATTGGCATGATTAATTGGGTCAGTCATTTTACTCAACATGGTTTTTAGAACACGATTTACTCTTTCAACTTGGCCATTGGCTTGAGCAGAGGCCACCGCGACCTTAACATGATTGATATTATGCTTCAGTAAAAATTCACTAAACTCTAATGAGGTAAAACATGTAACTCTATCACTTATTATCCTTTTAGGGCGGTTGTCATTTTGAAAATACTTTTCGAGACGAGCTATTACTTCTTTGGAACTGGTTGACTTAACTGCAAAAAGTCTTACAAACTTAGTGAACGCATCAACAACTACAAATAAATGTTTTCGTACAGATTAAATTGATGGCAGACGCCCAAAATGATTCACATGAATAAAGTCGAACGGAACAGGCTTTTTGGAATGTTGTAAAGATTATGTTCATTTACCCGTGCTGGCGGGGAACACGTTATACAACGCAGACAATTTTTTATGAACTTTTTTATTTTTAACTACATGTGCCGGAACCAATAGTTCTTTCTAACTTCCTCATACGTCTTATCTATTCCTTGATGGCACATCTTTTCATGAACGAGACGAATAACATTGTCTTCCATTTCGGCTGGAACATATAATTGTAAATTATTATCTGTTTTTACTCTAAAAACCAACCCGTCTCTTAGCTCGTATCCGTCAACAATTTCGCTTTGCAATTGCTCTCGTAATCTTACAATCTCACTATCGCGGTTTTGTAAAACCTGTATATTGAAATTTAAGTCTTAATGCTAAGCAACAGCCACCGTTTTACATGGAATTCCTATCATGCCGTCATAGTCTTCAACAATTTCATTAGGCTTATTAGATTCAATATCAGTATCATCTTCAGAGTAGGTACACATTACAAATTTATTTTTAATTCTCGTAGAGTAATCTTCCGTCTCTGTTTCTTCACCTTTAAAACATCGACTTAATGCATCCGCATGACTCATTGAAATACCGCCTGGATTTTGTATCTTAAAATCAAAGTGCTCAAATAAAAGTGCCAACCTTGCTATTTTTGGACTGATATTTTTCTTTTCAAACGTTGGTGATAGTTCACTGCAGTCAGTAACTATTTTAAATGGAATACCTCTGAGATAGTTTTCAAAACGGTTGAGAGCATGCACTATGGCCAAGATTTCTAAATTGAAGCTGTGCATTCTTGACTCCTCAGGTGATTTTGTTTTGGAATGCTTTGCGCTGCAAAAGTACTGCTCCAAAACCTAACTTGCTAGCTTCAGTGTGCAATTCGGTTTCTTTAGTGTGATTAAATATGCCAAAACAGGTGGTGTTATCAACTTTTGCTTTAATAATCTAAACGCTTCCTGACATTTCTCATCAATGCAGAACTCAACACCGATTCTAAGCAGGAGCTGAAGCGGATATGCTATTTTAGTGAAGTTTGGAACAAATTTGCGAAAATATGAAAACATTCCCAGACATGAACGCATGTCCCGTAATGTCTTCGGTGTTGGGTAGCATAATCGCCTTCAAATGAGAGCTGTTTGGTAAAATACCCTTTTCACTTGCTTGATAACTCAGAAACTCGGCAGTCTCATAAGCAAACTTACATTTATTGAGATTTAACTCTAAACCGACCTCAGCCAAACGATGAAACACCTGAATTAATGCATGTATATGTTCCTCTAAAGTTTCGGTTGCTACTTCAATATCATCCATATAAACAATAATTTTACCTTGTGCAATTAGATCTTGCAGTTTTTGATGAATAAATCGCTGAAAAACAGCAGGAGCGTTTTTTAATCCGAACGGCATACGATTGTATTCGAATTGACCAAGAGGAGTTACGAAAGACGTATATTTTCTTGAATCTGTCACAACCTTAACGTGAAAGAAATCATTTCTAAGATCTAATGTCGTGAAAACTTTTTACCGCCTAGGTTTTCAGGTATTCCAAACATGTTTCAATTAATGTCAAGGGATAATTGTCACGAATTATATTCTTGTTGAGAACTCTATAATCAACACATTTTCTAAATTCTTCGTTCTTCTTTCGTACCATAACAATTGCAGACGCATATAGTGAATCACTCGGTGTAATTATTTCTTTCTTCAACAAATCACTTATTATTTTTTGCAATGCTTCACACTCCTCAAAGGATAGTTTTCTTGGTGCAAAGTAGAAAGGCACGTCAGAGGTCAGTTTTATGTTCATTTCATAATTTTCCTGCCTGCCTTCATAATGTGAATTCAAATAATTTAATACAACTTCTCTTATTTCCTCGACCTTGGATTTTTCTAACATTGGATTAATATCAATGCTATTTGAATCTGTATCAATATTATCCGCCATCAGACTCCTAAGTTCATTTTCAAAAGGATTAATTTCATTTTGTTTTCTAGCCCGTGCGTCGCTAGTCGCACTACATAAAACAAACTTACTTTTCTCCATTACATCAGTGAACAAAACGGATCCAACTTGAAATTTTTGCAAACTATCTCGCCCCAGTAGAAGCGGGTCAGGTAAAGTATTATCTGGTACTACAAATAAAAACACTTTTTCACATCTATTCTTAAAAATCATCCTACAACTTATTTTACCATAAGTTTTAATTTCAAATTTTCCAAGGCCATAATATTGGGTTTCATCTGTCTCCTCTTGAATTGCAACTGAGACGGAAGATTTATGTATTAAGCTAATTGCGCTGCCGGTATCAAAAAGAGATAAAACAGTTGTAGTTATGTTACGCCCACACTTTGTATCATCAAAAACAATATTTACGTAATTCATAGCCTCAAGTGCAGATGCGACATCATCAACAATATTAATATCTTCTGCACAATCCATGGTCATAGCAACAGAGGTAGCACTTTTAAGTTTCGGTGTGTACTTTGGATTCGGGCACGACTTGCGATTATGGCCATTCTTCCATCAGTTATAACAACCATTAATCGGTCGCTCCTCGTACGGACATGTTGGACGACGGTGACCAAATCTAGAATAATTAAAGCAGCGGTTTGCATTTTGCGTTGGATTGCCAGCAAAATAACCAGATGGAGGTTTCACTTTAGTCTTCGTTTCACGGTTGGCATCTGGTTTACTGGCTACACCACGCACAGCCTGCCGTTGTTCGAACATGGCAACAGCACCCTTTATTTAAATTCTTAGCAGTGTTAAACAAAACGAAGTCTGGAATACGATTACTTGAACTTTCTAATATAAAAACAACTAACTCCAACTCCATAACATCGCTGCGGTGAGCAATAGATTCCATTTCCATCACATAACGGTGGACACTCTCTGTTGGCTTTTTAGTACGCATGCGAAGTGCCTGATAGACCTCCTGATGGTTAATTGTTCGTCCAAACTCACCAATCAGTTTTTGCTTTAACTCTTCATACGTCAAATAACCTCGTGTTAGTAACAATCTCGCAGCACCAGTTAACGAATTGTGCAACGCCAACAATTTAAATAAGTCATCTGCACCAACTTGTTCAAAAATTTGTTCGAAGTGACGGAAAAAGTCATGAACTGAGTATGTGCGGTCTTCTCCGCTAAATTTTATTACAGCATGCTCAATATCTTGGAAATGTATTTTATGCTGTTGTATTGGTTGCACACTAGTACCAAACGGCAATACATTTCGTTGTTCCATTTCCTCAATTTCGCACCGCAACCGAAGAATTTCATGACGACGGCGTAAATCACCAAGCTCTCGATCATGGTCGTCATGAACAGCATTTCTGTCAACTAACCTCTCACGGCTTGCGGAGTCTCCAAAGGCGGTAATTGTAGAGGTAGTGACAGCGGTAGTGACGACTGAGGAGGAGCAAACAGCGGTTTGTTTGCTGAGGCCTTCAGCATTACTTAGACGACAAGCAATGCAATCTTCGAGAGTACTTCGATGATCTGCAAATATTTGTCGCATCCGTGCAGTAGTTGCTCGTGGCTGAACCCCAATGCCAACAGCCGCTAAAACATCTTGCAACTTTAAGCGATTCATGCGGTTCTCCATATCAAATTTAAAATAACACGAAAAGGAAAATAATTTTTATTTGATAAATCCCACTTCTGAAGTTTAAATGGCAGGAATCTTCCGATATTTTATTATAACATTATATACCTTTATTCAAATTTTAATTATCACACACACCTTTCTCCATAAAAAACCAAACCTAAAACTAAACTGACTTCTTACCCATATATTTATTCTTATTTACTGTCAAACCAAAAGGTTGTCTGACTGTTTTTAAATGACATTAGAAATTATATTACATAAGATTTTATTTTTATATACAAACGTGAATGAAAAAATTCCAAGATAAATTCGATAAGAATAGAACATATTTGTCTAAAATAGCTACAGTAGGAGATGATCAAGTAATGAAATTGAAAACTATTATCGAAAAACAAGAACAGCGGATTGCAGCATTCGAAAAGAATGAGCAAGAGAAACTGCAACAAATTCTAAATATGCACCATCAAATGCAACAGCAACAACTGGAATTTTAACGTCTATTGGAAGAACAACGACAATAACAATAACATCAACTATACTCATCAACATATCAATTAATGGACCAAGTAAATTTATCGCACGAAAATATAATTAATCATTTTCGGCATATGAAAGCATTTAATGGTAATCAAAATGACTATAGTCTGTTATCTTTCACTAAAAGTGTCGAAAGAGCCATTTCCTTATGTGGAACTAATACAGTTCTGTATGATTTTGAAATGCAAATAATTATTAACGAGAAATTGCTTGGGGAAGCTAGTAAATGCATTCGACTTCTGGGAGAAAACAGCGAATGGACATCAATAAAAACAGCACTAATGCAGCATTTTCAACCTCGGAATACGTACGGAGATGTTTTTAACAAATGCAGCTAAAGTAAGTAATCTTAGAGAACTTTTTAAAATTTTTAATAATGCTAGTTATGAGTTAAATGAAATGTATGAATTTGATTCATCTAAGCCAGATATTTATCATCCTAAATATGTAGAGAGAGATTTAAAAAGATTATTGCTAGAAAAAATTGATGGCAACTACCGAAGTCATATCATAAATTGCGTCTCTTTTGTTGAACTTTTTAAAATATACTCAGAATTTATGCTTTTAGATGATATTAGATGTATACAGTTTGAACATAGAAAACAACTTGATCACAAAAAACAATTTAACCAAACAAATGAATACAGAAAGAAAGACTTTTATAAAAATGAATATAATATTGCAGAAAATCATAGAAAGAATAAGAAATTCAGGAATTAAACAAGATTTTCGACCAATCATGAAATTTAATTCACAACGAATTCAAAATAAAAAAAATTATTATTCTACAAGTCCTTCTCCACAAAACAATTATTCGATGAACCCAGACAATAAACTTCGTTCAGGTCAATATAGCAATAATTATTCTATGCGATCTCTTCCACAAAATATCTCACAAAGAAAACACGAAGGAGAAGCAATGGAAGTAGATAATATTCAAGAAAGTGATGTGAATTTTTACGAGCAGCCTCAAACAATATACTTCCCATGATACAAATTAATATTCTTGATAAAACGTTAACCTGTTTGATTGACACAGGATCAACAACAAGCATACTAAGATCAAATGTTTTCGGTAAATCTTCGTTACGGAGATTAGTAAACCCAAAAACCTTTAGTACACTTACAGGATTGAAACAAATAGAATATGAACAAATCAGCTCCATTCCTATAGAATTTCAAAGACAGGGCACTATTTCATGGAAAATTTCATGGATTACTAAACTTCATAATAGAAATTATGATGCTATAATAGGGCTAAACATTTTAAAGGATTTTGAAGCAACTATTAATTTAAAACACCAATATCTGGAAATCTACAATCAAAAAATTTTTTTTAAATTGTTTTCTACCTTATAATATAGAAGTTATTCAAACATTAGAAAAAATTGATAAAGGTAATAATACATTCAGAACAAATAATCTAAATAAAGAAGAAGTATCGAAACTAGAAACGATCCTACAGGAATTTTATGAACTCATTTATAAAGAAAATGACACACTTACATTCACTCATGAAATACAGCATGAGATTATAACAACTACAGATTACCCAATTTACTCAAATATAAATATATAGATATATATAGATATATATAGATATATATAGATAGATCTCCTATTTTTTAATATTTATATATGTATCTAATGTTCCATTAAAAAATATTGCCAAATATATAAATATTTAATTAATTAATATTTATATATCAAACAATTATTATATTAACCCAGATATATATAGATATATATATAGATATATATAGAGATATATATAGATATATAGATACCCTAAAATTCACGAAAAGGAAATAGAATCACAAATTTTAGACATGCTGAAACAGGGCATAATTAAAGAAAGCAATTCTCCATACAACAGTCCTTTATGGATTGTGCCTAAAAAAAGTAATAATTCTGGGAGGAATAAATGGCGAATTGTGATTGACTATCGAAAAATTAATGAAGTAACGATAAGCGACAAATATCCAATTCCCAATATTGATGCAATATTGGATAAATTGGGAATAGCACAATATTTTACGACTCCTGACTTGGCTAAAGGCTTTCACCAAATTTTAGTGAAATCTGAAGATAGGAAAAAAACAGCATTTTCTACTCCATTTGGGCACTATGAGTTCACATGAATGCCATTTGGGCTTAAAAATGCGCCTGCAACTTTCCAGAGACTGATGAATTCAATCTTACGAAACTATATTAATAAAATATGTGTCGTATATCTAGATGACATATTAATCTTTAGCACTTGTTTAGATGAACATATTTTACATTAATAAATACATTAAAAATGTGCTAAACTAGATAATTTACAAACATTAAAACATGCTGGCCTAAAGCTACAAATTGATGTAATTTATGTATTTAAATGTAATTTAATTTAATGCAAAGAAACCGAATTTCTCGGTCATATCTTAACTGCTGAAGGTATGAAACCCAATCCAAATAAAATTAAACTAATAAGAGATCTAAAATTACCATCTACTCAAAAACAAATAAAATCATTTTTAGGAATCACAGGGTACTACAGAAAATTTATAAAAGACTATGCTAAGGTAGCTTACCCTCAAATTAGATATTTAAAGAAAAATGTTAAAGTAAACATCAACGACCCTAAATTTATATCGGCTTTTGAGAAACTAAAAGATTTGATAGCAAACCATCCAATTTTGAAATATTCAGACTTCAGTAAAAAATTTAAAATAGTTACGGATGCTAGTAATACTGCAATAGGAGCGGTTCTCATTCAAGATGAACATCCTGGCTGTTTGCCTCTCGTACTCTAAATGATCATGAAAAAAATTACTCAACAATTAAAAAAGAACTTCTCGCTACTGTTTGGAGTATTAAATATTTTAGGCCATATATATGTATATGGAAAAGAGTTTGATTTACAAACGGATCATCAACAACTAAGATGGTTGCATGTAAAATGTCTTGGAAAAGATATAAATTCCCGTTTACAACGTTGCAGATGATCCTGACAACGTTATTGATTATAATGAATGTCCCACAAATCACGACAAATTTTTTCATAGACATTAGGTCTGTTCCACGAGCTACTCATAGTAAAACATGAGTAAAACAGAAATAAAATTTACACAAAAATACTTGAAAATTTAAAGAAACAGTTGAGCATATTCAACAAAATATTGCTAGTGCAAGAACAGGTATTTTGTAACCAACTACGTATTTTAACAAACCAAGAAATAGCTAAATATGACATTGACTTGAAGAAATTACTACATATCAAGACAGGGGTTGCCATTACCAAGAATGA